TTCAAGAAGGCAATGAATTTTTGTGGCTATTTTTGCAATTCCATGACATTTTGCTTAGCCAAGCTCTAAACAGAATAGAAACTAGAGCCACCTCATGGACATGAGATTGCTGAGGGGTTTTGAGAGATAACGGGACTACATCTGGGAAAAGCCATTTCAGGGATAAGAGCAATTAATCCAAATAGCATTTCAGAGTTTGTGACTGAGTCTGGGTGGTGGGGGGAGGGTGACACTAGGTCTTATTGAACTCTGTATTTTCTTCTTTAAAACAGGTCTTCACTCAATAATAATCCAACCCAGTAAATGGAAAAACCATCACCCTGACTCTCTCTCTTTTTTAATTAATTAATTAATTTTTAATTAATTAGTTTATCTATTTTTTATTTATATATGACAGCAGAAGGCATTACAATTCTTATTACACATATAGGGCACAATTTTTTATATTTCTGGTTGTGTACTCACCCTGTCTCTTCAAGCCAAAAATCARGACTTGTCCTGGATCCCTGACCCACATATCTTAACTATTAGCAAATCTTGCTGGTTATATCCATCCAAAAATGATACCCAACACCCCCCCACACACACACACACACTCATCTCTATCTTCTCCATCATCAGCCTCACTTGGCCCCTTCCTCTTCCACTTGGACTTTTCACTGTAGGCCCCCAGCTTTCTTATTTGTTCCCCCTTCAGTTAATTATCTAAACAACAATTAGTGTTTTTAATTTAGTGTTTTAATTTTTTTTAAAGTAAATGAAAAGAGTAACAGGTCTACCTAAACTCTTCAATGGCTTCCCCTTGAATTTAGGATAGAACTAAAATCTCTTTATTCTAACTTAGAAAGTTCTTCCTAATCTGGAACCTGCTTGCTTTGTTTCTGAATTCACTCTACTCTTTTCTTCCTTCTGGATACACTCATCTCTTTTCTCTTTTCTGAACACACCTAATACACATATCTCAGGCTGACTGTCAACTCCTCAGAGACATCGTCCCTGTCTTCCACATTTAAATAGGCCCAATCTTCTGTTTCCCAGGTAACTCTCATTAATTTACTTTTTTCTCATCTTTCTTATTCTTATCTTTTTTTCAAAGTGTTTGATATGTAAGCTATTTTAATGTAAGATTTGTTAAAGCAAAATCTATATAGAGTAAAATTCATCTTTTAGCATCCAGCTATGAGTTTCATTCAATATGTAGATTTGTAACCCTTGTCATAATTAAGACATCAAATGAACATTTCAACTATCTCAGCACAATTGCCCAAGAGGGTTTTCCAATATMTGAAACCACTTCCATGTTTTAGATGATGTGTGAATAAACAAACCATGGTAAATGCATACAATGGAGTATTACTCAATAATAAAATGAATCTCAAATGAATTATGCTAAATGAAAGAGGCTAGTTTTAGGAAATTGCATATCATATGATTTCCACTTAGAGGAAATTCTGGAAATGGCAAAATTATGAAGGTCTTAAACAAATTGGCARTTGTCAAGGACAGGAGCTGGGGAGAGGCTCCCTATGAAGGAGCATGAGCGAACAACCACTTCTTTTCTTCAAGCTCTTATTATAATGTATAATCATCTTGATTATTCAATTACTTATTAATCGTTGCCTTCCTCAAATGGTTCATTTCACTTCTCTGCCTCCAAAAGCTAACATGGAACCAGTCATTTAACAGATGTTCAATCACTTTTTGTTGAATGACTTAATGGATACATAAACGCCACCCAGATCAGCCTTCTCCCTCAATCCTCATCTTTAGTCCATAATCATGTCCTGTGAGCGTTACCTGCTCAATATCCCTCCTACGAATTCCTTTTCCTCTAACTTCACTGATGTCTTCATGTCCTTATTGTTTTTCACTCTCATGATTATAATAGCCTCAAAAAATGTAGTTTTCCACCTGCAATATTGTCTCCTCAATCACTACCTTTAATCGCTGCTGGATGAAATTGAATTATATCACTTCTCTGCTTTAAAAAATAGTAATGGTTCCCTATTGCCTAGCAACCAACCTAGCTGTGGCTCTTCTCTCCTTCCAGGTGCCTAACCCTAATCATCATCCTTCTTACTATTGACAGGACTCTGTTTCTATCCAGAAATGGTTCCCAGAATAAAAATGCTGCRTCCATGTGTCTTAAAAAATAAGGACTACTTTCACCCAAGTGAGTCCCTCATGCCTGGACAGACCTTGCTTACTTTCTAGTCCTACCCATCAATGCCCTGTCCATCCCACCATGCCTGTGGCCTCCATGTGTCCAAATTTGAGATAAATATTAAGGAATTTGGAGTTATCAGAGCAAGTTGTATAATTTTAAGCCRTGAGGATTCTCAAAGTGATAGCCATAATCTCAAGACTGCACATCCTGATATACTGAATCTTGAAGAAGTCATATAATTGTTCAGATAGTAATAGTAGCTAGTGTTTATTGTTGTTGTTCCTTCATTTTATTTATTTGTTTGTTTGTTTGTTTTTTGCAGTGCTGGAGATCAAAACCAGGGCCTCACACATGCTAGGCAAGCACTCTACCACTGAGTTATATCCCCAGCCCTYCTTGGTATCTAGAAAAGAATTAAGAAGTTGGGGGACTGGGGTTGTAGCTCAGTGGTAGAGTGCTTGCCTAGCATGAATGAGACACAGGGTTCAATCCTTAGCACCACATAAAAATTAATTAATTAAAGGTATAAAAAAGAAGTTGGCATTTACTTTTATTGAATTACATCAATTGCCTGRAGTCAAGCCTAAATTACTCTTTCTATAACACTAAAAATAGTGGAATAAGTAAAAAAAAAATTTTTTTTGTACCAGGAATTGAACTCAGAGACACTCAATCACTAAGCCACACCCACATGCCCAGCCCTATTTTATATTTTATTTAGAGACAAGGTCTCACTGAATTGCTTAGCATCTTGCTTTTTCTGAAGCTGGCTTTGAACTCGTAATCCTCCTGCCTCAGCCTCCCCAGCCACTGGGATTATAAGCATACACCACTGCACCCAACTCAAAATCATTTTTTAATACATGCCATCAAAACCCTAAACTATGAAATCCATGTTACAGTCATCTTTCAGTTTCCACTGGGGATTGATGCCAAAACCTCCCTCCGCGGATACCAAAATCTGGATACCAAAATCTGAGCATGTTGAAGTCCTTTACATAAAATGGTATATATTGACAAATAACCTACACGCAACCTCCCATTACTTTAAATCACCTCTAGATTACTTACCATAACTAGTACAATATAAATGCTATATAAGTACTTGCTAGACGGTATGTTCAGGGAATAATGATAAGAACAGAAGTCCCATGGTGCTCAGTGAAGATGCACCTGTTATAGGTCTACCTCTATTATTGATCTGCAGTTGGTTGAATTCATGGATATAGAACCATCTGCAGATATGGAGCACCAAGTGTATTAGTTCTAAAGAATCACCTCTGTCCACCAAATAAAATGAGCTGAATACAYTAAGGTATGCCATAAAACCTGCTACTCTGAAGTTAAAAGAAAAATGTACCAGGAATCTCTCAATGAACAGATGTGAGAGAGCTCCAAGATACAGTATGAAGTGAAGTCAGCTAGGTGCAGAGTATGGCTGCCCACCTGTGCTCTTGTATTTATTCATATGCACTTGCATTTGTTCAGAGAAAGTGTAGAAGGATTCTCAAGAAAATGCTGAAAGTGTTTCCCTGTTAAGAGAAGAGACATGAAGCAGAATGGACTTGGGGCAGGGATCAAAACTCTCCATTGTACACCTTTCTATTTTTGCTTCTTGAACCATATGAATGTATTCTTTCCTCAAACTTTTCATATTTTATTAAATAGAAACAAGTTTGAGTGTATATTACAACATGTTTCTTAAAAGACTCCATTAAAATTACATTATCCAAGGACATTGAAACTATTTTAAAACTTATAAAACCATCAAAACTTTCCAATAGCCCTGACATACCAATTCCAAACATATAAATAAACATTATTAATATATAAGTTTAAGTGAATAAATAAATGAGAACATTCTAAAAATTTTTTTWAAAAAGTAAAATAATACATTCTCCAAGTGAAATAGCAGTTACTGCTTTAAAGTTGTCTCTAAAAATTTAACTTTTTCTTAGTAAGTTGAACATGTGAATGTATTTACCCTTTCAGGTCAGTGGTCAGTGAAATGATCATCAAAATGCAGCTTATAGAGAGTCCCGGGTTGTCATAATGGACTCTGGTGCCCATATTGTATAGAAGATAACTGACATGATCACACATCATTTTGACATGATACTCTTTATCTTGCCCCATATCAATTTATTTTGGATTCCTCCATTTCTCTCTCTCTCTCTCTCTCTCTCTCTCTCTCTCTCTCTCTCACACACACACACACACACACACACACACACACACACAATTTTTTAAAACTCAAATGCAGCTTTTGAGCAAATGGCCCATCTGATAAATCATCTCCAACTCAAGAGTACCAAATTTGGCCAAAGCAGTCATTGGGAAAGATGGGACAACTTTTACTAATAGAGGGCAAGAGAGGGCTTTTGAGATTATAAGCTTTAATGTGCACCCAGAGCTGACAGGGCACATTCTTCCTATACTTTCCAAAAAGAAATGAACCCAACATGAGAATCAAGTGAATTTTTAAAAAGAGAGATATAAAATCATAAGAACAGTAAATCCTGGGTCCAGCCATGCTGAGCCAGTGTCCCTTTGGATTTATCAACTGAATACCCCATGAGTCCCCTCTTCTTTTTTATTTTTTTGTGGTGCTGGGGTTGAACCCAAGGCTTTGTGCGTGTGAAGGAAGCATTCTACCAACTGAGCTCTGTCCCCAGCCCTAATCCCCTCTTTTGATGTCCTTTTGGAGCACAGCTCAAGTGATCTTCAACAAGGTCTTTGTGATTTTTACCTGTAAATTCCAGAGGTTTTTTTTGGAAATCCCAATCTTTCCTGAAATTAATTCTTAAGTTACCTGGAAAACGTAGATTATTACATTTATGAGATTTGGAGAAATTCTTCATGTGAGTGACAAATCTTGAGCAGGGCAAGACAGTTCTTTCATGATGAGGGCTGGGCTGTAGGGTAGAAGAGAAAAAGAGACAATATAAAATTAGGTCTGTGACTTCAAAAATAATCCATGCCACCTACTACTCCTAATTTCCTAAAGGAGTGAAATTTTTCAAGTATGTACTTCTTTATTCTTTAAATGAAATAACCCAAGAACAATTGCAATTGACTCTAGTTACCTATGACATGCATGCATGTCCTTCCTATGTATTTCATTAAAGGGGTTAATTACTATAGTTTCTATTCATTCAAAATATCTTTATGGAGTTATATATACTGTGTACCAGGCACTCCTCTAGACACTGTGCAAGAAATGAAGTTCCTGTCTTCATGAAATGGACATTTGATGTAGGGTGACAAAAAAAAAAATATATATATATATATATATATATATAAAACGTATCAGTCAGTAATTTTTACATTGCTAAAGTAAAGAAAAATACAAGGTTAAAGGGGCTGGGAAAATGACAAAAGGAATTTATATAACAAAGTAGGGGATGGCTTCTCAGATATGGTGCCATTAGAACAAAGACTTACAGGCAAAGAAAGGGTAGCCATGTGAAGTCTTCAGCAAAGGTCATTTTGAACCCAGTAAACAGCCAGTATGTCAAAGTAAAGATGCAGGATATAAACAAGGGGCCAGAAGATGGGAGAGTGGAGGCTATCAAGTCAGGCTTGAAATAACCAAAACAGAAAATAAAGAGAGAAAAGAGCTACAAAGATATTATATAAATAACATAAAATAAGGTCACAAGAAAAGACAATTTGGTTATGTTTTAATTAAAAGCAACTTACTAAATGTATAGTCAGCAGTAATTCCCCATTAGTGTTTATGTGCCGTCTTTATTGTTTGGATATTATTGATTTGGATATTGAATGAATATTATTATTAGGATATTGGATATTATTGTATGGGTAGCATTKGTTAGGTATTATGAATAGTATGTATTCAGGGTAGAATTAACTTGCTGGGCCTATAAGAGATCAAACCATCCCTGCATGAGAGACAAGATCTTATGTGTGAGGTTTTCATCCTATTGCTCCACACAGCTAGATCACTCACCCACCTCCACTGTTCCCTAAGGAAAAGGCTTATGTCTCTAGCCAGAAACTTTGAGCTGAGTGGGAGGGTCCCAAGGCAGCCTTAGAGTATGAATTTCCCTTTGCCATGACTGTACACCACAGAAGCAGGGATAGAAGCTTTAAAGATACATCTCTCTTAAATGTCAGCAAGAGATGGGAGCTGAGTGAACCAGACCAGCTGTTCCTGTGACAAAGTGGACATCAACTGAGGAGGGATTAGAAACCTCTGCACTTTATAATTGGCTGCCAGCATTTCCTTTTTGTCTTCTTGGTATAGAGTGAAAGTCTTTTTAAGAAATCATCACAGATAAGCCAAGAGAAGTGGAAAGAAGGGAATTTTTGCCATTTTAAGGGGAAAGTGGTACCACAGGAAATAAGAGAGACCTTGAGACAGAAAGAAAATGATGGAAGAAGTATATTCATGACTCAGTAATCACAACTTCCCACCTGGAGAGTTTCTATGCATGCACTTTGGAGGTAACAGTTGAGGAAAGGAGCTACAAATTCATGGTAGTCCACGTCCCAATCTCATCTCCACTCCTTTTTGTGCCCACTGAGGTGACACCCTCTCTGTCCCTCAATTTCTACATTTGCAATCGTGGACTAATGCTTTCTCCCAACAATCATTATCCCCATTTTGCTGATGAAAACCTCAGTTACTTACCAAAAGTAGGTAAGTTGTCAGTATTGGAAGCAAGCCTCAAAATCCACTCTTTTCAAAAACCACATTCTTAAAAAAAAATACCGTATTGCCTCCTTGTCTTAGTTGGTTCAACCAACAATTCATATGTCAAAACTGGAATGGGGAAGGTCACCCTTGGCTTCTTCTTTTACCTCTTAGCTCCCAGATCTACTCAACACAGAATGCTGTCAGTTCCAGCCTCTCAAGTCCTTTCAAACCCACTCTATCCTCTACAGTCCTTCTGTACCCATTAGCTGTGTCACCACAGCTCTGTTTGCAGTCACCTCCGTGGGATTCTCACAAGAGTGGAGATGAGGTTTGGACACAGACCGCCATGATTTTGTAGCTCCTGCCCTGAACTGTTACCTCCAAGGTGGCCATGCATAGATATTCTCCAGGTGGGCAGTTGTGATAACTAAGTCATGAATAACCTTTTTCCCTCATTTCTTTCTATCTCAGGGTCTCTCCATGGGATTCCCCTTTTCACATTTTCTTTCTAAAACCTGAGTCTAATATGGGACTTGCCTTCTAAATAGTGTTCCGTGATTTTCCATCATGTAAACAGTGGTTCTCAGACTTTACCATGCATAAAAATCACCTAAAGAACATGCAAAAATGTAAGTTTTGGTATAAAATGCCTATGGTGGAGCCTAGGAATCTACATGGTTACACAAGTGGATGGAGGTGATGATTTGTTATGATTCAAAGTGTGGCCCTGTATCACTCATGTCACCTGGAATCCTGTTAGAAGTGGAGATCCTCTGGCTCCATCCTAGATCTATGGAATCAGAAGCTGAATGATGACAAGATTCCATGCACATTAAAGATGTAGACCTTACTTTGATCTAAAGGATCAAATATAAAATCCCTTCTCTGATCTAGAAGGCTGGTCAGCACTCCCTTCTGTGATCTAAGTATGACAAATTAGGGAAACAGACAGATCCAAAGCTAAGGCAGAGACCTCCATGTTCTTCATCTTGATCACCCTAGTGCCTTGAACAGTCCCTACTACATGAGCCAGACTGCTTTGTCAACCGAACGGAATCGATTTATGTTTTAACACATATTCTGAAACACAGCATTGTATTCAAATTGGGCCTTTCATCAAAGTAGGAATTAACTGAAATGATAAAGAAGAAAAGGAAAAGAGGCTATGTCATCACGGTGGATCTTACTCCTTAAAACTTGAAGCATTTTGCCTTTGGGCAGGGAAGGGGTACAAAGTCCTCTGTGAAGACCTTGGTGCTTTGGGTTGATTGCAGCCAAATCCATCTTCTTGTATTAAGCACAACCCCCACCGTTTTTTTTTTYTYTYTYTYT